ATGCAAGAAGTTCAAGAGAAGTTGAAAGTAAATGAATAGCTAAAGAAGAAATAGGCAAATGCTAACCAGAAGAAACTTTGTATGTTGTTGTTGTTATGTGCCGTTGAGTCATCTTCAATTCATAGTGACCTCTCCTTGGGTTTTCAAGGCAATATCTCTACAGAAATAGATTGCCCAGTCTTCCTTTTGAGGAGTGGCTTGTGAGTTTGAACTGCCAACCTTCTGGTTAGCAGTCAAGTGCCTGAGGTACTATGCCACCAGAGCTTCTATATTAATATTAGGTAAAATACACTTTTAAGCTACAAGCATTATTAGGAGAAGAGAGATTTAGTCACTGTGCAATAATAAAATGTATGATTCACAAAGGATATAATCGTTTTAAATTTTCATGCCTCTAATAACAGAGTCTTAAAACATATACAGTAAAATAAGGGCAAATCACAACTTTATAAGGTTATTTCTGAGGATAAATATAAAATGTGAAAATGCTTTGTAATGGAATAGGATATCTATTGTTCTTTGTTTACAAATATCCTACTTTTTCTGGTAATTGTTCCCAGGAATTTGTGTCAGAATGGACTATGACAAATGAATGCTGTAAAATATGGAACTGGCTAAATGGAAGCTGAGTTAAAAGCAATGAGGAGTCACCCAATATGGAGAACTGATACTCTTATTCCTGAGGGGGAAACACAGTTGGTTAAACTCTTAATCATTTTCTGCTGAGGCTCCAACCACGGGCACAGAAAGAATGGGGCTTTTGTCAACTTGTCAACAAAAAATAGAACATGTGTGCTACTTCAAATGCCTTCAGTGAGGGCCAGAGACAAGGTCCAGGATGCAGTAGGCCCTCCTGAAAGCAGAAAGGGAATAAGCAGGCAAATATGTACCTTTATAGAAAGAGGAATCTGTTAACAGGAATCTGAGACAGTCAAGGGCAAGATAATCATGTACCTTATGGGATGGCAGCTGCTACAAAACATGCTTTACCTTATTTCTGAAGCTGTCTAGGAAAGAGTGGGACACTGGCATTAGAATGTGGATACTGGGAAGGAGTTCTATGAGTCAGGACAACCCTCCAAACCTTACCTCTCCCTTAGGGTAGCGATAACGATATTTATCCTGGTCCCGTAGTGCAAACTCTTCAGGGTAGTGTTCCTGAATTTCTTCATAGGTCATTTCCTCACAGACACCCTGAGACAAAAATAATTTTGGGACTAAAATATTCACACAGTTAAATTTCCACAGCCTTTACCTTAGTTTTGAGACCAGTGATTTTGGAATACTAGCATAAGAGCATCTAGGTTTCTGTAAACACAGTTCTGGGTTTTAGTATATTGTCCATGTCCATGAGTGTGTGGATATGTTTGTGCATGAGGTGTGTGGCCATGTGCATGTGACAGTGAGTGTATGTGTGTAGGTGTGCTCAGTTGGATATCTGTGGTGTTTTTCTATGATTGCCTCAGTGGGTATGTCTGTGTACATTGTACATGTAAATATGTATTTTTAATAAGTATGTAAGTATAAGGAGTTTTGACTGTGTTTGTGTGTGTGTGCAGCATGTTTATGATGTGTACTTGCATGTTTAAGGGTTTTTGTCTTGTGTTTGTATTTATTTGTCTCAGCATATGTAGTATGTTTGTTTATGAGTGTGTACAGGGTGTCTGAGCATCTACCAATATGCTTTTGTGGGTGTCTCTGAGATATGCCTCACACTATAGGTCGTAGCATGTCTGCAGCATGTGTGTCTGTGAGTGTCCTCTATTATGTCTCTGAGGTATATGTCTGAGTATCAGTGGCCTTGTGTCCAATGTGTGCCTGTGTCTGAGGGCTGTGTGAATTTGTGGTAATGTGCTTGAGTCCATGTGTCTGTACAGTGCATATGTCTACAGTGCATCTCTCTGTGTCAATGTAATGTATATATACGCAAAGGGTACATTTATTTTTATGGTGTGTCCATATGTGTCTCTAGGTATGTATGTTTGCGTATCTGTGAGTGAATGTGTGAGTATATATGGTGCAGGGGTGAGGGTATATGTGTCTGAGAGGACACCTGTGTCTGACTAATGGGTCCATGTTTCTGTGGTGGTGATAGAGACAGAGATTAATCTTATTTGTCCCTGTCTTCACTGTGTTTGTAAGAAATGGAAGGGACAGAGGAATATAAAACAACATACATGATACAGGCTTTGAAGGTTGAGGCTCTGGGTACCCAGAATCAGGGCTAGACACCTGACTAAGCCAGGATCTGGCTGGAGGAATTGATATCTAGTTGAGGGCTTAGGGTTGTGTGTTTTGACCTTCACTTGATCCACAAGACACAAGTATAATGCCTGGCACATGGCTGGTTGTTGAGAAATATTTGTTGAATTAATTAGGTTCCTTACAGGAGCTGAGGCAGAGGAAACCCAGGGGATGAGCCCAGAGTCAACCCCCACCACCATCCAGGGGATCCACCACTCTCCATCTCACCGCATCAATCTCATTCAGTGCCTTCCATTGCTCATAAGGGACACCCAGGGCCTCAGCTGTCTGGATGGTCCTCTTCATGTGACTGGTCCACACCTTCAGGGAGCTGATGCCTTGAGACTGAATGAAGTTGGCTAGGGCATAAGCATACTAGGATGTGGGGGTATACAGAAGAAGAGAGAATGGGAAGAGAGAAGTGAGAGAGGATAGGGTAGCCATGAGAACAAGTTTACATCTGTGACAAATAATGGAGTGGTGATGAACAAACAAGAGCAGAATTTAAATGCTCCCAATTTATAAAGTAAGGAGCTCTGGTAGCGTAGTGCCTAAGGCACTTGACTGCTAACCAGAAGTCTGGCAGTTCAAACCCACCAGCCACTCCTCAGAAGGAAGGTTGGGCAATCTACTTCTGTAGTGATACTGCCTCGGAAACCCAAGGAGGGGTTGCTATGAGCTGGGTCCAACTCGACGGCACGTAACAGCAACAGTAATTTATAAAGTGTCATGCTTTTTTCCCACATCAAGGGCATAGAAAGAGTATGTATGTAGAGTATGTATGTTTATGCATGCATGTGTGTTCAGTGTATTTGCTCATTGAAATTCCTACTCATTTATTCATTCATTCAAACAGGCCCACTCCTACATTTTTGGAGGCATACTACTCACAGTTCATGTGTCTTCTCTTCCAATTAACAGCTCCATTCTTTGCTTCTAGATACCTTGAGTACATGTGTATTGATAATCCAGTCACATGATCAAGCTCCATCCATACTCCACTCCACATATTCCCATGCACCACTAATAGTAACCCTTTAGCTACACTTGGGCCTACGGGTGCACACTCCTGTAACATGGCTTAACTTCAGGAGTACAGACTCTTGGATAAACTCATGCAGGCACTGGGAGCAGGCATTGAACCATATGGGCAGAGAATTTCAGGGTTCTGAGTACCCAGAGTGTGGTCTAAAAGTTTGAGAGGGTTATGATTGGGTAGACACACCACTTTGACCCTTTCACTTTCTCATTGCTTGTGCAGGGGTCTTGATACTTAGGTTCAAAGGGCATTCAAAAATGCATTAAGTGTGAGGACTTCCAGCAAGATGGTGGAATAGGCAGACAAGCTATACAGATTCTCTACAATAAAGAAATGAGAAACCAGTTGAAACAGATAGAGAGGATAATCCTGCAACTCTGAACTTTGAAGAGAAGGATAAAGAACTGGATTAGGTACCAACTAGTAGAAGAACCTGAATGAAAATAGTGAATAAGGAGATAAATGGGGCTGTGCACTGTTGATTGTCCTGACAGCACATCCAATTAGAATACTTGCAAGTGGCATTCTGATCTATCTGGGCAGCAATCTAAGAATCAGCTCTGCTTGCCAAGGACTGAATGGACAGCTGCACTGGTGGCTGGTGACTAGAAAGGAAAACAGTGAAAGAAGAGAAAAACAGAGCTTTGGACGGTCAGCTGTCCAGAGACAGTGGCCATTTTGAATATTTACAAGCAGTGCAGCCATTTTGAATAATTGCAAGTGGTGTTCTGATATGGGCAGCAACCTAAGAATAGGCTCTGCCTGCAGAGGACAGCATAAGTATCCACATTGGAGGCTGACAACTAGAAAGGTGCAATATTACCCTTATTCCCTTGTACCTCTCACCCTCCTGGTGAAAGGAGGTGAGGCCATTCCCCACCTCTATACACTTTAAGGACCAGCAGGAATTCCTTCCCAGTCTGGGCACCCTGCAACCAGTAGCCTTCTGGGCAGGCAGGAACTGGTTACAGAACTAGGTACCCTGTTCCCAGCCACTTATCTGGCCAGTAGGAATCTTTTCTGAGACTAGATACTTTACATTCAGCCAGGTTTTGGGACAGCAGAAACTTTTTTTCTTGGAATAAGACCCTGCTCCCAGTTCCCTTTTAAGACAATCAGCCCTGCTGACTGCTGCTTTTTGAGCTGGCTGGAATGCTCTCTGGAACCAGGTGCCTTTCTCTTAATCTCCTTTTGGACTGGCAGAAACTTTTTCTGGGTGCAGGATCTCTGCCTACAGACACTGTCTAAATCAGCAAGAACTAGTCTGAAATAAAGTACCTTACCCCCATTTGCTTCTAGGTAGATCGGAACTAGCTCCAAGATCAGCCATCCTGCTTCTAGTAGCATTTTGGGCTGGCAAGAACTTTTGCTACAGGTGCCCTACACTAAGTACCTCTTTAGGGATGCCAGGAACTTTCTCTGTGAGTAAGGACCCTGTGCCCAGCTACCTTTTGGGAAAGCAGGAACTTTTTTTGAGACCAGACACCCTACATTTTGAGCAGGCAGGAATTCCTTCTAAAACCAGGTACCTTGTTTCCACCACCATTTGGGCTAGAAAGAACATTTTCCAGGTTCAGATACTTTGCTCCCAGACATATTCTAGGTCAACAGGAACTCTTCTGAGATCACAGACCCTGTCCCCAGTTCCCTGCAGGACAGGCAGGAACTAGTACCAGAACCAAGTGCCCTGCTTCCCATTGACTGTTTGGTCAGCAGAAACACTGTGGGTGCCCTACTCACTCCCAGTTTTGTTTTTATTTGTATGTTTTTAAATTATTCTTTCTTTCTTCCTCTCCTTTTATTTTTCTCTCTTTCCCTTTCCTGGTTCTTGTTTTTTTATTTTATATTTTATTTTAATTTTTTTTTCTTTTCCTGGTTATTTTTTTCTTTTTCCTTTCTTTTTCTCTGTTGGGTCTTCCTATCCCTTTGTTTTCTTTTGCATTTTCCCCATTTTTCTTTATCATTCTTTTTTCACTTGCTCTCATCTCTTATTCTCCATTCCCCAGATATTGTGAGTTTTCTCTTTATATCATTCTTTCATCTTTTAAAATTTTTCATTTATTGCCTTTTCTTTCTTTCTTTCTTTCTTTTTGCAATTGTTGCTGTTTGTTTATGTGGGGTTTTTTGTTGTTGTTGTTGTTCTTTTATTTTAACTTTTTAAAAAAAATTTCTTTGCTAACTGGATGAGGGACAGCAACCATGCCCACATGACCCAAACACACTCACACCTCCTGCAGCTCCACCCACTTGCTTCTGCACCATATGATAGATGGTGGCCAGTACCAGCCCAAATTGCCCTCAACTGCTTTTCATGAACAGCTGACAGGTATCTGTGCACACTCTCATCTTCTATCTCACCCAGCAAGAAATAGATGGTGTTTTGGTTACCTAGTGCTGCTCTGACAAGAATATACCACAAATAGGATGACTTGAATAAACAGGAGTTTATTCTCTTAGTTTGGAGGCTTTAAGTCTGAGTTCAAAGTGCCAGGATCTAAGGGCTGGGTGAAAGCCCCTCAACCTTGGACTTCAGCTCTGCCTCCTGTTCCTGGCCCACTGAAGATAGAGGCTTTTCTTCCTTCAGACAGTTGCTGGCTGCTGAGACTGACAAGCCCAAGGTTGACAAGTAAAAAAAGTATAGCGCTGATGTTACCAAACCACATGGCAGGCCATTAATTCAAGTCCATTGAAAGTCCCAAGGTCAGCAGAGCATGGCAGGCTGCTGAACAATGACACAGCTACATGCAGGGTTCAAGCATGCCATAAGTTAGAGACCATTCCCAAAACTGCTTCTTATATATGGGAATCAGATCACATACCCAAAGCAGCTACTCAGCTGCTTGTGGTAGATTCCACCATGGAGTTGATTGCCAGTCTCATTATGAGGAAATAACCACCACCAGGTGCCTAGCCACTCAACCAGGCCCAGCCAAGTTGACACACAAACTTAACCACCACAGATGGTGAGTTGCCTAGGTGCTGCCAAACTAGCAAATCAAGAAGAAATATGAATAAAATGACATTATAATGTCTGGGAGCCAACTGACCATCCCAGTTCATACAAAAATCAAGATAGAGTAGTACAAACAAGGGACCAGAATACAGACCCAGAAAACCTCCCTGAGGAAGAAGTGACATTGGAACTGCTGATAAAGAAGTCAAAAGAATTATATTTGGGTACTTTCAATGGACTTAGAGAGAGATCAAGGAAAATACTGATAAAATCAAGGAAAACACAGATAAAACTCTAGAACAATTTAGGAAGAAAATACAAGAACAAACTGACAAAATAAACCAAAATATTAGAAATAGAAATACATAAAAAAACAACAAATAGAAATCCAGAAGATTAATACTAAGATTTCAGAAATAGATAACACACTAAATGGGCAAAGGAGTAGAATCAAATCAATGGAGAACAGAATCAGTGAGACTGAAGACAAAATTGTCAATACTACTCTGTTAAGGTAGCAATCAGAAAAAAAAAGATAATAACAAAATAAAGAAAGCTTAAAACTCATGTGAGACACCATCAAGAGGAATAATTTAAATGTGATCAGAATCTCAGAACAGGAAGAGACAAGATCACAGAGAAAATTGTTGAAGATTTGTTAGATGAGAACTTCCCTAATATGATGAAAGATGAAGAGATACCCATTTTAAAAGTTCAGTAAACCCCAAACAGGGTAGAACCCCAAGAGAAAATGACCAGAGCATAACATAATCAAACTCACCAAAACCAAAGACAAAGAAAGAATCCTGACAGCAGCATGGGAAAAACGAAAAGTTACCTACAAAGGGCAAATAATATGACTTAGCTTATTGACTGACTGATTTCTTGGCATAAGCCATGCAGTTGAGAAGACAATGGGATGATATATATAAAACCCTGAAAGAAAAAAATAGCCAACCAATAATTATGTATTCAGCAAAATTGTCCCTCAAATATAGTGAAATTAGGACATTTTTCGATAAACAGAAATTAGGGTAATTTGTCAAAAGCCGACCAACCTTATCAGAGATGTTAAAGGGAGTCCTTCAGATAGAGAAACAACAATAGAAGAGAACAAATGATGATTAACACAAATGATGATATAACCCAGAAACCAACCCAGTTATAGACATTACCAATGTAAAATAAACTTATAAGAGTGTAAACAGGGAACCAGAGACATCAATTGGTAAATTAGGAAAACCACAAACCAAAAAGAGAGAATAAATTAGTGTAGGTAAAGAAGTTCCAAATAGTGAGGAAGTCAAGACAATTGCAAGATAGAACAGACTTTTCCAAACTTGGGAAGAAAATGATAAATCACAGAGTAACCTCAAATAAAATTAATAAAAAAATAAAATAAATAGAAAATAAAAAAGTGGAGAGTCAAAAATATTTAGTAAATGCTTAAACAATAGCAATGAAGGAAATGATAACCGATTTCATAAACAAAATGAGTTATGCACAGAAAGTTATATGGAACAAAGAAATCAGCAACACTACAAAAAAATCATGTAACAAAGTGACAGCAATTCATTCATACTTGTCAATAATTACACTGAATGTAAAAAGATTAAATGCACCACTGAAGAGATGGAGAGTTGCAGACTGGATATGAAAATATGACCCATCAATATGTTGTCTACAAGGGACTCACCTTAGACACAAAGACAAAAATAGACTAAAAATCAAAGACTGAAAAAAGATATACCAAGCAAATGGCAATAAAAAAAATCAGGAGTGAGAATATTAATTTCTGACAAAATAGACTTTAAGAAAAACACCACCATAAGAGACAAACATCAAAACCAAACCAAACTCACTGCCGTTGAGTCAAATCCAACTCATAGCGACCCCTTCTTGGGTTTCCCAGGCAGTATCTGTACAGAAGTAGATTGCTCAGTCTTCCTTCCGAGGAGTGGCTGGTAGATTTGAACTGCCAGCCTTCTGGTTAACAGTCAAATGTTTTAGGCACTACACCACCAGAGCTCCCTCAGTAAGAGACAAGGAAGGGCATTATATAATGATTTAAGAATGAATTGAACAAGAGTATATAACCTTAATAAATATCTATTCTTACAACAAAAGAACATATAAATACATAAATTAGACTTAAACAGAATAGAAAAGACAAATAGATGACTCTAGAGTAATAGTAGGAGACTTTAATACACTACTTTCAATGACAGATAGAACAACTGGAAAGAAACTTAACAAAGACACAGAAGAACTAAACAATACAATCAACCAATATGACCTTATAGAAAAACGTATTAAATGTATGTGGTTCTGTGCTACATGCTGAAGTGTTCTGTCCTTAAAACATGGCCTATCCAGTGAGGGGAACTGACAGCACCATGAAGTCAGGGCTATGATTTTCAGCACTACAAAAGTCTGTGCTGTGGGGGCCCAGATGAGCAAATAATTCACTCTTCTTGTGGGTGTCAATCACAGATGATGTGTGTAAGGAATATCTGCATAAATGCATAGATACAGTGTCACACACACACACAGGTATTTTACACATATTTGTAAATTATTCATTATCACTCAGCAATCAGTACACTCCAGTGGAAGGACATCTTGACTGGGAGGTAGGAGACATGGATTAAATTTCCCTAACTCCTTTATGGCACTTGACTGCTAACCAGAAGGCTGGTGGTTCAAACCCACCAGCCACTCCTCAGAAGGAAGGTTGGGCAATCTATTTCCGTACTGATACTGCCTCTGAAACCCAACGAGGGGTCTCTATGAGTCGGGTCTGACTCAACAGCACATAACAACAACAACAGCTCCTTTATGCAGTCCCTGTGCACTCTCAGACAAATCCCTGCCCTTCTCTGTCCTCTGAGGAGCCCTGGTGGCTCAATGGTTAAGCACAGAGCTGCTAATCAAAAGGTTGGCATTTCAAATCCTCTCAGAAGCTCCACTAAATGAAAGACCTGGCAATCTACTCTTGTAAAGACTACAGCCCAGGAAGCCCTATGGGGCATTTCTACTCTGTCTTATAGCATTAGTATGAATTAGAATTGATTTGATGGCAAACAACCTTGTCCTCTACCTCCTGCTTGTAAGATCCCAATGGAATTAGCCTGGTCTCTGTGAGGCTCATATTAGATGGGAGAACAGGAGTGCTCCCTGGCAATCAGGGACAGGGTCAAATACTGGGGAATATGCTTCTCATTGTTTAGCCAGCACCCACGATGGGAAGGTCACTATACTTCTCTGGAAAGAAGAGACAAATCCCATGAGACAGTGATGAGCCACAACTGAGAGAGATGGAGCCCAGAGACAGATGATAGATGGAGAGGAGAGGAGAGCTCAGGGGAGGGTTTCCTGGACTAGACCTTGGAACAGGAGCTGGGCCTTGGGAGAGAAGAGTGGGAGGAAGGGAAGCAGTAATTGGTGGGGGTGGGGCAAATGATTAAAGCATGATGACCTGTGGCTGGAGTAAGGATGGAGACTGTAGCATCATCCCTGAGTCTTTGAAGACAAGATAGATTCAAGGGTGAGGCACTTCAGGGCAGCTGTCTGTGCAAATGATGGTCACCAGTTGACAAAAGGAACAGAGGAGGGCAGCCTCGGGAAAGGGAACTGCATAAGCAAAGGAGTAGAATTGTAAGAAAAATGAGGAGATTAGTCAGGCAAGGGCATAGGTGGTCATTGTTATAGGTCTAAAGAAACAGTCAGACTTGGGCAGGCATTGATTGTCAGAAACAAAGCTATTAGATTTCTAGATGCTGTCAGCACATGTATGGTCAAGACTGAGTGGTTGATGGGATAGAGGAGGAGGACTGACCAGAATCTGCTTCTACCCCATCACTGGGTCCTTTATCCTCAGGACCCAGGCAGTGGTTACCCCACCCCACCTAGGCTGGCCCAGCCAACCACATCTGAGTGTAGGAGGCCCTCCATACCTGCTTTCCCTGAGCTGAGAGGCCAGAGTCACCTCCAATGCGCCCTCTGAGGTTGAGTTCACTCTCACCATGCCGACATAGATAAATGGAGCGTGGTGTGACGTGGATGTTCATGAGGTAGTAGACTGTGCGGCTCTGGATGTGGTCCTGCACTTGGTTCACCATGTAGCGGGTTCCCACATCAAAGATCTTGATATAGGACAAGTGTCTGGGCCAGATGCAAGCAGAAGCAACTTCAGTTCATGGGGCTGACAATGGTGGGGCTGATCCCAACAAAAAGTCTCCACCACACACTCTGCTTTCAAACCTCCTCTACAACCCAAATTTCACGTACCTTTCCTTCAACGAGATGCCACACCTTGCCTTGTTCTGAGTACCTGTCCTAGAAACTCAATTCTGGGCCACTTTAAGGAGATCATTGCCTGCTATCATCTCCCCCTTAGTTCCTTTCCTCAGCTCACATTGAGCCAGTCCACCTTTTTACTTTCACTCATCATACTCCAGGCAGCTGGGGTTCTTTCCTCTGTGTTTCATGCCTCTATCTACTCAAAGAGGACTTCTCCATTCCCTACCCTTTGCAATCATGAATCAAGCTCTATTTCTCTCATCTTTGAGCTTCTGCCATGATAGTTTGTACTTAATCTTCGACAGGCATCTGTGAAGTGGACATGGTATTTTTTCTCTGCTTGTTCACCTATGTGTGTGTTTTCCTTCACTCAGAAATGGGGGTGGGCTGGGTTCTTTCCCCATCAGCTATGCCGTCAACAAACACACTCTCCTTTGCCCCAGGCACTGTGCTTGGAGTTGGGGGCCAGTCTTTCTCTTTTGGAAGCTCCTAGATCAGTCAGGAACATATTCTTGGAAACACATGATTAATGCTTGGGGTCTAATCCACAAAAAATCACTCAATATCTAAGGCATGCCAAATACTGAAGCATGGGGATATAGGGGTAGTCCACAACATCACTGAACTTGTGGTTCTGCTCCCCCTTATTTCTTGTCCCTTTAATTTTGTGTTCTATAATGAACGCAAAAACAAACAAAAACTCATTGCCGTTGAGTCAGATCCGACTCATAGCGACCCCTCCTTGGGTCTCTGAAGTGGTATCACTACAGAAGTAGATTGCCCTATTCTGAGTGTCTGATGGGTTTGAACCACCAGTCTTCTGGTTAGCAATCAAGTGCCCTATGCACTATGCCACTAGAGCTCCTATAATGAACTAATAACTAATAATAAATAATAACTCATAATACAGAGTGACAATCAAACTTAAATAGTTTGATTAATAACCTGTCTCCTGACGAATGGAGAAGGGACTATGGCCAATCAGAAGACCAGAGTTCTGGAAGAAGGTTCCTGAGTTCTCTGCGGTGCTAGGCATTAATTCTTTAGTTGTATTGCAGGGAGTTCCAGGAGGTCCCTGGGAAGAGGTGGGGGAGTCTAGGACAATGGAGTGACACTAGCAACCCTAGTTGCACAGTAGCAAAGCCAAATGAAATAACTGCACTAACCCAAGGCAGGTAAGACAGCAGCTGATGGATTTCATTTCAGAAAGACTGTCCTTTGAGCTTCCAAGAGAACTCCTCTGTGTCTGCACCATGCTTATCATGCCCAATCCTATCACTCACTCACTCACACACTCACTGTTATCGAGTCATTTCTGACTCATAGAGACATTCATTGGGTTTTCGAGGCAGAAAGTCTTTATGGAAGTAGATTGCTCCATCTTCCTTCCACGGAGTGGCTGGTGGGTTTGAACCTCCAACCTTCTGGTTAGAAGTCAAATGTCTTAGGCACTGCACCACCATGTCCAGTGGCTTCTACGGGGTATTTGCATTTGCTAAATACTTCCTCTACATCTTGCAGAGAGTGAGAACTTTAAAGTACATGAATTCTCATAACCATCCTGTAGAGCAGAAATTATTATCTCTTTTTTAAAGATGTGGAAACTGAGGTACAGAGTAGGAAAGTTATTTGTCAAAAACCATCTAATCAGAAAAGAAGTAGAATTGGGATTTAAACCACAAAATACTCCCTTTTCCTATGACCCTCAGAGCCCAGGGGTAGAGAATATCTGATATAGCCTTGTTGCCTAGTTACTATCTATCTGTTCCTGACACTAGGTTCTCAGTAGCTCTGAGAGAACTTCCAAATTTTTCAGCTTAGTCTAACATTCTATACTGGCCACAATTGGCGGCACTTACCTCACTATCCTATGCCCATACCCATAACTTGTCTGTTTCATTCTAGCCTTCATGCCTTTGCTGTTAGCACTGGAATACTCTCCATACCCCTCTTCTCTTACTCAGATATAACTAGGCCCTTGCATGTTCCATTTGCTTGAAAAGCTGCTCCACATGTAGTTTCCAAAGAGGAGCCCTATGCATCCATCCCTCAAAAGCCAGCAAATTCACCAGCTCCAAGAAGTCTTCTTTGAACTCAGGATCTTATGAAGTCTTTTAGAAGCATTCCACAACAAAAATACTAGGATAGTTAATACACATTCCCCACCATGTGTAATTTTAAATAAAAACTATAAACTATATAAGTATAAGGAGGTTCAACCAAGTTCTGGTTGTATTTTTTTTCCATCTTGACCACCTTGTTGCTGTATTAGAAATATCAAATGATTTCAAAATATATTTCTTATTTTTGGTAGCCCCTACTTTGCTGGTGCCCTAAGCACATGATTAGGTAGGTACATTTTGGATAATCCACCTCTCCCAGAACTTCCTCTTGCAAGCTGGGTTGAGTCCCCTGCTCTGTGCTCCTATAGCCCACTTAGTTTGCCATCCCTACAATTATTTTTTTCTGTGTGTATGTGTGTGATTTAGGTGAATTTTACAGAACAGATTGACTTTCCATTCAAAAATTGATGAAAATTTTCTTTTGTGACATTCTTTGCAACTCCCACAATGTAACAGCACTTTCCCAACTTCCTCCCTGTATTTAAGGAGCTCTGGTGGCATAGTGCGTAAGGCATTTGACTGCTAACCAGAAGGTTGGTGGTTCCAACCCACCAGCCACTCTGGAGAAGGAAGACTGGGCAATCTACTTTTATAAAGAAACCCAAAGGGCTTCACTATGAGTCAGAATCAAGTCGATAGCAGTGAGTTTATCTTTTTTCTTTTTTTTCCCCCTGTATTTACCATTTCCCTTCATCCTTCTTTCCTATCCTTTCCTGCCTTAGTTTTATCCCTAAGAAAATGCTGCCTTTTTTTTTTCCTATATGGTTGGTTGTTGTAAGGAGTGTACCTCTGTGGTATTAGTGTTCACCTTATAGGCCTGTCTATTGTTTGGCTGAAAATTGAACCACGGAATTGAGTTCAGTTCCAGACTTGAAGGGTGTCTAAAGGCCATAGACTCAGGTGTCCCACCAGTCTCCTCAATGGCAGTGAGTTTTTTTTTTTTTTTTTTTTTTAGTTTTGTTATACATTTTTCTCCCATTCTATATGGGACCTCCCTTTGTGATCTCTTTCAGGGTGGTTAGTAGTGATAGCCAGGCACCATCTAGTTTTTCTGGTCTCAGGTGGAGGCTGGAATTCATAAGGTCTCTGGTAGCCTAGTGCCTAAGGCACTTGACTGCTAACCAGAAGGCTGACAGTTCAAACCCATCAGCAACTCCTTGGAAGGAAGGTTGGGCAATCTATGTCCGTAGTGATACTGCTTCGGAAATGCAAGCAGGAGTCACTATGAGTCGAGTCGGACTTGATGGCACATAACAACAACACTAGTCCTTTGGAATAATTTATACTTGCATCTTTGATTTCCTTTGCTCTTCTTTGCTCTGGATGGGAAAAGACCAATAGCTGTACCTTAGATGGCCACTGGGTTAGACTGGGTTCTCCAGAGAAACAAAAAACAATAAAGCTTATATATATGTATATACACAGAGAAATTTCTCTTAGGAAAATGGTTCACACACATATAGAAGCTGGCAAGTCCAAAGATCCTGGATCTAACATCAAGCTGGAGGCTTTTCCTGGCTCTTGCAACCACAGGGACTGAGAAGCTCAAGGCTGGCAGGCAGTACACTGGCTGCTGACTCCAACAAATGATGAATCCAAGATCTCTAGGCTGAATGGTGGACTGTTCACTCATGGACAGTTGTAGGCAGCACAACAGAATCCTGATCCA